GGGGGCCAGGAGCCGGGGGGGCCTGTCCCGGGCTGGGGGCCAGGAGCCGGGAGGGCCTGTCCCAGGCTGGGGGCCAGGACACGGTGCGGGGCCAGGAGCCGGGGGGTCCTGTTGCAGCGCTGACCCTCCGGCCTTTCCCTGCCTCCCGCAGATGAGACGTCGTTCGAGGCCGGGATCCGGGTGCAGGTCCACAGCCAGGACGAGCCGCCCTACATCCACCAGCTGGGCTTCGGGGTCTCCCCCGGCTTCCAGACCTTCGTGTCCTGCCAGGAGCAGAGGGTGAGGCTGGGCCAGGGCGTCGGGGCGCTGGGGGGGGGCGTGTCAGAGGGGGACAGAGCTACGTGAGGCTCTGGGGGGGGGGTGGAGCTGGCCAGGTGGGGCCGAGGGGGGACAGAGTTGGTCAGAGGGGCTGGTGGGGAGGCAGAGTTGGCCGGGGGGGCTCTAGGGCAGTGGGCAGAGCTGGCTAGATGAGGCCGAGGGGGCAGAGCTGGCCAGGTGGGGCAGGTGAAGTGTAGTGGGGGTGGAGCTGGCTGAGGAGGTGGAGCATGCTGAGGGGGCGGGGCTGGCTGGGAGGTGGAGCTGGCTGGGGGGGTGGAGCTGGCTGAGGGGGCGGAGCATGCTGAGGGGGCGGGCTGGGCTGGGAGGGGCGGAGCAGGCTGGGGGGTGGAGCTGGCTGGGGGGGTGAGGTGGGGCCTGGGTAGCTCCGAGGCTGTGGGGGGCCAAGCCGGCGGGCGGTTCCCCTCCCCGGGGTGGGGGGGCCTGTACCATCCCCCTGCAGCTCTGGCTCTCCTAGCACGGGCCCGGCAGTGTCGGGCGATGGGCCCTGGTCCCTCCAGCCTAGCGCCGCCCTGTCCCAGGGCGAAGGTGGCACCAGGAGCATCCCTGCGCCCGGCCCCGTGCGGGTGCTCTCCTGGGGGGGGGCTGCCTGCTTGCTGCCCCTGCCCTCACCGCCCCCTCCTGCCCGCAGCTCACCTACCTGCCCCAGCCCTGGGGGAACTGCCGGGCCAGCGTGCCCGGGGAGCAGATCCTGCCGGGCTACGAGGGCTACAGCATCGCCGCCTGCCGCCTGCAGTGCGAGAAGGAGGCTGTGGTGAGCAGCTGTCAGTGCCGCATGGTGCCACATGCCACGGTCGAGAACCCCCCC